GTTTATCAGTATTAATGAATTTTTAAATTATTTTCCATCTTTATCGGTAATTTATTATCCGGTTGGGATCCCGTGGCTGCTCCAGCTGGGTGGACTCAAGAGGACTGGGAGAGGAAGGGCAGGAAAAGGGGGAATCTCAGGAAGCTTTAAAGGATAATTATCCTTAATTTCTTTCCCTCCCTGACCACATACACACATTGAACACCCCCTGTACTGAGCAATGAGATCCAACTGCTGATTTCCAGGACACCTCTGACTCCGTGACCCACAGGCAGGAAAAGACATTTTAGGACACAGAAACAAACACAGTTGTTTATGCATTTTAAGCATCTACAAATTAAAAACTGTGGGTTTCTTAAGTTCTGTGGCAACACTTAAACCCCATTCCCAAAGAACACAGGGAATTTGCTTTTAGCTTAACCTGTGGCTGGAGCTGATCTGAGTCTGGCTGAATTTTTTTCTGCACAGAGAACACAGTATCTCACATGTATCTGTATTTTTTTGTCTCTATATAATTCTTTTTATAGGCATTGAAAGATATTTTAATATCAAAATATATGGTTTTGATATAAAATATATTAAATAATAAACATTAAATAATATTAATTATAATATTATTTCAGAATAATTTCTTAATAATATTTATTAATATGCTAATGTTGTTACATATTCATATTGTAGATTTATATTATATATAAATACAGTAAATATTAAAAGATATTTCAATATTGTATTTCTATTTTATGATATCCTATACACACACATGCACCCACAGCGACTGAAAGAAGCAATGTCCTCATGCAAAGGTAATATTATCTGGAATTTTAAAAGAATAAACTGAGGAATTAATTAATTAATTTTATTTTTATATTATACTATTCCATTTTTATGCAGCCCTAAAAACAAAGTGTGGTGTAACTGCAAGGTCTGAGGTGAAAGACGTGGAAGAACCAGCAATTTTTGCAATGCAAGGAACGTAATTATGCAGTTAAATTTTAAACCCCTCAGATGTGACTAAATTAATTCAAGATATTATCTGATAAATATTATTTGGGTGAGATCTCCTCAGAGATATTTGTGTTCCTTTAAAAATACCCATTTTACATGAGAGAACTGCAAAAAAAAACCCCACCAAAACACAGAGCTCAGTGCTGGGATGGCAGAAACAATTCCAGGCTGCTGAAGGGCTGATGTGGAGGAATTAGGAGATAAGAGCAGGCACAGATCTTGTGCCAAATGACACATTTTAATAGGAAACAGATTGGGTTTATTCCTTCCCTGTTGGCAATCCCAGTGAGGAATTATTTTGCTGATAGTCCCTTCACTGTTCCTTAATTCGGGATGGCATTTCGAGGATCCTGGATGTGTTCCATCAGTAGTAATGTCACAGGAAGTCATTCCCTAAGGAAATCCCCTACAAAATTAGCAAATCAATCAGTGCAGCTGCATTAAAAGAGGCTGAGAGGGACCAAAAATCAGCATCAGTTTAAAAGCAGCTAGTGGTGGGTTTTAGGCTAAGCTTAGCAAAACTGGAGGCTTTAACTCATTCCCAGGGAGAAGGTGGATGTGCTGCTTCCTCTGTTTATCCACCTGATCCGGGGCAAAGGTGGGCTAAGGGAGCTTGGAGCTGATCCTGCTCCCCTGGACACAGGAAAATGTGTCCCAAAGCCCCCAGAGTCCTCCCTCAGTCTGAGCCCCTCCGTGTCCAGCAGAACATCAAACTCTTCCTGCAGGGAGGAGGCTCCAGAGGAGCATTTCTGGGGATTTGTTCCGCCCATTTCCCAGATTTTATTATTCCAAGAACACAAAAACAGCCAAACAGAGGCCCTGGAAAGACTGGGGATAGAACACAGAGGGGAAAGAGGGAGGCAGGGCAGGGAGCAGGGATGGCTTTCAGAAGCCAGTCCAGAACTATCCGAGAGCAGGGATGGATTCCAGGAGCCAATCTAGAATTATCAGGGAGCAGGGATGGCTTCCAGGAGCCAGCCAGGACTATCAGGGAGCAGGGATGGATTCCAGAAGCCAATCTAGAACTATCAGGGAGCAGGGATGGATTCCAGGAGCCAATCCAGAACTATCAGGGAGCAGGGATGG